TCTCTTTCACGTAAATATTACTCTGCGGACCTGCCTTTTCGGGAAGCTACGCAGGGGCGCGTGGGTCTCAAACCCGCCATTTATCACGCGGGCGGCCTTCGAAGGCGAGGCCGGGCGAGATGTGTATCAGGCGCAGATGCCGTGGGCGCGCGATACCAAAAGAGGCAGGAGCGGGATACCTAAAGAGGCAGTTGTGCGTGAGAATCTCGGGGGCGGCGCGCCCGGCAAGTAAGAAAAGTGGATGATGGATGGCGATAGCGACACCGCCGCCATCAATCCTGTCCACCGACGAGTGGCGACCACATGGTTCCTGCTTCCCGCCGCGCAAACAAGGAGCCAGGCCGCATTGTGGGCGCGCGCAGCCTGCGCCGTATAAATGGCGGGCCCGCCGAGCAACGGTCCTCCACCGCCCCCAGTCCCGCCCCGCCTCCGCCTGCATACCTCTCTCCCCCCGCATTATTCTACTCATTTTCCCCCTTCGTGACAACGTGACTGCACCATGCACTACCCCAACACACCCTCCAGCTCTGGCTCTGGCTCCGGTTCCAGTCACAGGTCTCGTGTTCCCCAGGCTCCGAATGCGCCTTACATGAACCCCCGCGACCTGCCTCCGTCTCCCCAGACGCCGTCCACCGTCCTCTCCGGCCGAGGCCTGCCGCCCTCCACGCCGTACATGCACTCGGTCGGCCTCCCGACTCCGCCGGCGCAATATGTCTCCCGTATGCACTTGTTCATCTTTCTGTCCCCGTAGCCGAGGTATTAACGAATGTCGGGAATTACCATAGATGGGCTCATGACTCCCCCCACTACCCCAGTCAGGCCCCGTGGGTCCGGAGCCGCGACGCAGATGCATGCACTCCTCTCTGTGCAACCCCCGCTGTACTTTGACATCTCGCGGTCACCCGAGGAAATTCAAGTCTACGCACCTCGGTCTTCGCGGTCCCTTTCGGAGTCGGCAACGCAGCCCGGGACGACCTGTGTGGTCATAAATGTCATCGATGTCTTCGCAATCCAAGTCCGCGCTCAGCCCGGTGCAAGCGTTACCGTCGCCGAGGTCCTCAGCCACCTCGCACATGGGATGGCCAGACAGGCCGAGCAACACGAAATCTCCTGCTTCCCTCCTGCAGTGCAGGACCACGTGATTGCGCGCTGCCAGATTAGCGTCCACGGCCGAAAGTCGTCCTTCATCAAGCGCGTCGACCTCCTGGGTCCGCGTGTGATCTTCGCCGGCCTGGAGGTCACCAATGTGGCCGCGGGCGTCGTCTATTGCGACGTGAGGCTCCTCGCTCGAGGCTCCCGCTGAACGTCTCAAGCGGCTGCTTCTGCCAGTGTACTATACCACCGCTCTGGCCCACGCTACTCTTCGCTTCTTCTTGAAATCTATATCTGACTGGACATGGAAGACTCAAGCCCGGACTTTGGAAAGACAACCTCGACTGCACGGACTCAAAACACCGAAGCGCGGGACGCTACAAGGCATCGCGACCCGACCGCCACCCCACAACACTACTCGGACGGTCTCTATTTTATTATTGTTTTGCTATTATCGACATCATGTAGAACCCCCACTCATGTAGCGCTCTAGTCACCGGGTCTTGTGTTTTTATTTGTGTATGTACTACTAGTATTCACGGTTATATCAATATCACCACCCTGTTATACCACCAAACCACCAACTTGAATGCCACTCCTAAAAGTAAGAAGAATTAATGCATGAGTGGGAAAATATTAGCGTCTATCGACTCATCAATCGCTGACCTCATTGCCTTATATCGTCCCGTTTAGCTCAGTTGGTAGAGCGCGTCACTAGTAATGACGAGGTCAGTCGTTCAAGTCGGCTAATGGGAATATCGAAAGAGTGATCGGTTTTGCTCCAGGATGATTGTAGTCAATTTCTTTTGATATTCAGGGGCTTTGTCAATAAGCTATAGAAGACCTATGTATATGTACTTCCCATCAACTGACGTGAACTACTGAACTGAACTAAATGGGACATGATAGACGCTTGATGCCGTTCACCCTCCTGCGGTCATGATCTCCATTTACAGTTGCTTGAAAGCCTGAAGCCTCTGCACTGTATTCTATTCCGTATGGCTCTACGACCTCAAGTAGACATTCTGGACAAGGGTTCTTGTCTCGGTTCAAATGGACTTATCCCTGGATTCGAAGCATCATTTGTTGACTGCACATTTGCCATGTCCCTGCAAAGCTTTGCCTTCATCTCAGTTCTCGCATGACGTAGCTCAACAAGGCACTTATTCAAACAACTTTAATGGCTGGTGCTACTGCGCCATCAACGTCAACTAAGTTGGTTTCGTCGACGCTCGGCGCAGAGCTGTCGTCACCGACCAACGTGCATTCCACCCAGCAACTATATGCGGCGAAGCATGCAGAGTACTCAAGCCGTGCGCATGTTCTTTAAGACGGTCAAAGGTGAGTCACGATGACGTGTCGACGGAAACGGATAGCTTACTGGCGATGCATTCTCCAGATTGTGAATTTGCTCTGAGGAAAATATTTTGTGCTCGAACGTCTGTGAAGAGAACACAGTGCTGCGGTGCGGAATGACGAGAGCACTTTGACTCATCTGGTTCAAGGAAGGCCTCTTGCGTCTGCTCTGGAAACCTGTTGGATCCTCAGAGACGCGCATAGAAAGTACTAGACCACAGCCAATGTTGCCATTGAGTTCAAGGTCACCGAAACCTTTTTCGACGAAATTTCTGACACCCAGTACGTGGGCGTTCTTACCCTTGGCCATCAAATAAATTGATGTCCTACATATCTTGTGGCGCAGCCTCTGCCGACAAATCCTTCTGTCCCTTCACAATCTTTCCCTTGGAATCTGCCCCCCATGCGTCGTTTCTCGCCTTTGGCGCATTTACGAAGCCACTCGGGCTCTTTATCAGACGGGGCCGACTGGAATTCATGTCAAAATGGCGCACAGCCCTGATCCTTCGAATTCGTTCGCAGCGTGTACTGCGCGTTGTCCTTCGGATCTTCCTGTCAGGTGCCCAGCTGCCCTTCAAGCTTGGGGTATCACAGCGATCACCATCTCGCTTCAAAGTCTGGGGTTGGCGTTCTCCGCATTCCGATCCGGATCTGCGTGTCCCTGCCTTCGTTACTGTTTGAGAATTGCACGAATCATGGAGCGAACACGTTTTTGCATATTAGGCGGCGACCCGCCGCTTCGTGTTTCTTCTTCGTGTCCCTTCGCTGGTCACAGGATTATTCCTGAAGAATTTCCAAGACCCCCAAAAGTGATGGCGATTTGACCACGAGCATCATGCTCGGAGCCATACACTCGCTTGTACTAATCCTTAGATCCGTATGCATCCGTTCTATTTCCTCCAGCGCCTTTACGAAACACCTCGCACTTACACAATTCGGCGGGTACGATCTTATGCAGAATCACAATTTTTCAGAAAAGCGCGAGGTTCGGCTGGCAATAGCGAATTGATGAAGCCAATGCAAACGAGTGTTGGCATGAATTTGAAGAAAGAGCGGGATGCTATAGTACACAGCCTATGGAGACAAGCGCGACGGGCGTAAAGGTATAGTACAACGTCCCATCATGCGTATATCAGTCGTGCATGCTACTATACAGGTATCATAAGCATATCATCAATAACATGAGCTTGGGCATCAATAGTCATCACAAGGAACCAAGAGATAAGTTGAAACGAAGAGAGCGACGGCATCAAGAGCGAGCACAAAAGGAAAGCGGGCAAGCAGAGTAGCAAATAGGTAAGTACCTGCAAATGTTTTTAGCCGGTTTCAAACCGGCAGCACCAAACCAATAAGATCACCGTACCCCCGAGAATCAGAAACTGAAGAGGCGAACCGGCTCGTGCCCAGCGTGAGGCGACGGGCTCGGGCCTTAGGCCTTGGAGAAGACGAGTTTGCCTGTACCATTTCCGCCGCCGCTCTTGTCGACCTCCACACCGACAAGGCGTGTCTTCTCCCCCAGCCAGTCGATTCGGCGGACACCGGCCTCCCAGCCGCCGCCCATACGCGTACACCGCCGCTCGTAGGCACGCGTCGCCTTCTGCTGTGCCTTGCTCCCGCGTCCAAGCGCGTCCCATTCTTCGGGCGTGACGGGCGTCATGAGGGTGGTGTGCACGGCGTAGAGCACGTCCAGATTCGTGATCAAGCCAGCCTTCTTCGGCGGCCCGACCGTGAAACGTGGTCCGGGAGACGCGGTGCCCGCATTGTGCGAGGCGGCGACGACGACGGGCCAGGGGAACTTGTGCGAGCGCAGGACGAGGCGTGCACCGGGTGGCATTGGCGGCTCTGTCGCGGGCTGCGCGAGCGTGTGTGAGGGGATGGCGGAGTGCGTCGCGCGGTCGAGGACGGTGCGCGCGGAGGGAGTGAAGGTGACATCGTACGTGAGCGGTGCGTGGTGGAGACGCGTATGGGCGAGAAGAGGATGCATGTGCAGACACGGCGTCCGTGGACGCGAGTACGAGCCGGACTGGGCGGGCGAAGGTCCCCGCATTGAGCCATCTGCGTGAGGAAAGTGTCATAAGCGCTAACCCGCGGCGGGGCAGAGATGCGACGTACAAGATGACGTGCTTCCGACACTGCTGCCAGGCTGCCAGCTTGGATTCTGCCGCAGGGGCGGGCGAGTGTCAGAACGTCCATAATGGCCTGCGTCAGAGCTACACGATCGTGGAGCTCCCATGCCGAAGAGGGATGAGCTGGAATTGGAGCGTGAACTCGGCGGTGTCATGTACGTGGTGGAAGGCGTGTGGATAGCATAGTTCGCTATATCAAAGTTATTACGAGAGTCAGCGTCTGGCTCTCGGATAAGCGACTCGAGGCGGTGATAACATACCAGGCTCTCGCGCTTTGTGGCTTTCTCGCCGGAGGACATGCGGACGAGGTTCTGAGGGATAGGGTGCGGCCGCACTCCGTTTGCCGTACCCGTACGTGGTCCTTGTATCGGCGCCTGTCGTGTATCTGAGGGGTGATGGGTGTGTCGAGCGCGAAGCAGAGTAGCTTTGGCTCCGGTGAACATTTGCACCAGAGCTTGAAGTGCTCGGTGGAGCATAGATGTTCGGAGCAGGCCCAGACGAACGAGAGCGACTGTGAGTTCGAGGGGCGGCAGTGGATGAAGACGAAGAGCTCGATCCGCCAAACAAGTTGCGGAGGTACGAAGGCATGATAGTCATGATGAGATACGTGAGAGGAAGGTTGGAGCGAATAGTACAGGAGCGGGGCTATATACCTAGGTGCGAGCGGCGAAGAGATGGCTGTCAGTGGACCAGACAGAGCAGACCTACTTCCAAGAGACTGCGATGGGGGACCACATACCACAGGCCTGTGTTCTTATAAAGGGCCGCATCACGAAGCATAGCAGCTGCTTTGGGTGGAATGGAAACACGACCTGTTGTCCACCGACGAGGTTCTGGGCGCGGTCTGCCGCGATTAACGATACGAGAATACCTCCCCAGAATAATGACAGACGTGTGGACAGGCCTGGATCAATCTGCGCTGCCCGAATCCAGACAAGTCCTGTGTAACCGCTGTTGTTTGAAAAGCCTTCGCCTTTTCCCGTAAACTCCGTGATGTCAGGTATTACGGTTTTGCTAAGCGAGACAAGGACAGGCCAATAGGGGGGCGACAGCACGGAACAGGTGGCTATGGCATGTAATAAAATGGATACAAAAAATGTGATTGGCGGTGCGGGGCGTTCAGCTCCTGTTGTCAGATCGCGCACATTCATTCCAGAAGCCTGCGACCGCCTCGTGTGGAAAACGTGTCGGACACTTTAGGGCGGCATAGCAGGCGCGCGGTACCGTATACAGCCCCTTGCCGACGCGAGGAGCCCATTTGTGCGCGGAACGAGGAGTCCAGGTGTGTCGAAGCCATGTATCAAGCTCAGCCCATGAATCAGCCCGCCTATCTTGACGTCCTCTCCGACTCTGATAAGGAGCGCAGTCCACACGAATGCGTCGGTGGGAAAGGGCAAAGTACGAGCGATACGCTGAACCGCACATGTGGATGGCGCCGGAAAAAATGACGAACTTCGGTGCAAGACGTCGAATGAATGATACGAGGACGTCGCGAGCTCGTCGCGAGGCCCGTCCGATAAGAAGTAGTTGCGACATCGGCTTCTCCGGCCAAAATGAATCACAGGTCCGGACTGACGATCACCACCCTAGAATCGGGCATCACAAACGAGATGCAGATGTTCGATCTCGTGGGTCGTTGTGGGACCGGGAGAAGGTATACACATACCACCGGCGGCGGTCAGTGCCCCTGGGGAAAGCGACGACCGCCC